TTCGCCCAAACTGATTTGCCAAAATCAAAATGCAGACGGTGAAGGGAATTGGTGTTGGCGCGAGTCCTGTTTGTAAAAAACTGTGTAATTGTTCATTCAGTTGATTAACTATTCAATATAGTTTAATAAAGGCTAAAACGATCAAGGTCTAATCACTTTCCAAAGAAATCTGTGATGTCTACCTTCATATTTATATATCCAAAATTCAGAAAACATCTGTCAAGTTGTCAGACATGACTGCATATGGTCCAGTTAAAATGAAGAGACAATATGTCTATTGTAATATAGTATATCAAATAATACTTCCATAGAAAGACACTTAAATACTCGTATTTAATACATAAAAGAAAAGTGACTATGACTGTCATATTGCCATATTTTAATATCACTGAGATACTATTATAGTTTTTATTAATATTTTGGATTAGCTTGCATTTTTATATATCTGTTTTCATTTTAATTTTAGTAAGGTTTTGGTCATTTTGTTGTGTCATTTTCATCATTATTTTTTTTATAGGTTTATATAGTTAATTTGAAATGTAAATAAATTGTCTTCTCCTGACTTAGTACTTATTATTTTTATTTACTTACTTATTTATTTATTTATTTATTTATTTAAAGAAAACTCGCTCCCTCATTGGGGCAAACACTATCCCAAATGTAATGGGTGTAAACAGTCTCCAATCAACATCGACACCCAGAAAGTCGTTAAAAACCAAGAGCTGGGATCTGTTGACCTGATTAACTTCAGTCTTCCTCACAGCATGAAGATGCTGAAGAATAACGTACACACAGGTGTGGAATCAGGAATACAGCCTACTGTATGCACATAGTGAAACACACCTGCACGTCTTATCTGCATCCTCCTCCATGCTATCCCTGCAGTTGAGTGTGAGCTGAAGGCAGGAGCAGTGGGAGTTCGAGGAGGAGGTCTGAAGCACAAATACACCGTCCTGCAGTTCCACTTCCACTGGGGTGGAGAGGACCTGGTGAATCATCCGGGATCTGAGCACTCTCTGAACGGACACAAATCACCTCTAGAAGTTAGAGATGAGGCCTGCCTCAAGATCAAGTTGTGACAGACATGGAAAATGTTGCTTGTATTTAGACTCACGTGTCGTATTTTCCTATGCAGATGCACATTGTCAGCCGGAGAAGTGATCTTAAAGACAGCACCGCAGCAAAAGTTCAAGATGGCTTTGCTATGATGGGCTTCATCAGTCGCATTTACAGGGTTCATCCCCTAGAGGTAAGTATTACCATTTCAAATGACAATTTATGTAGGAAGTAGTCAACGTTTTGCCATATCTGTTGCCTATTTTGTGTGAGAAATAGACTGAAACTTAAGTCTTATTCATTGAAAATCTCCCGTCTTTTTTAACTTTCAAACCACATTTGGGTGGGTAAATAGGGACAGAATGAGTTAATCATTTTTCTTATCACTTAAGACAGTGGTTCTTAATGAACCTCTTTAGTTCGCTGATGATAGTGTCATTTTGGTATAACAGAGATACTATTATAGTGTTTTTTTAATATTTTTAATTAGTTTTATTCTTTTATTACATCAAGTTAAACTACATGAAAATGAGAAATGTTGCTTTGGCAACTAGCTAAAATAATATTCATATAATATTCATATTTTAATTTAGGTAATGTTTATTTTATTAGTGTAACGTTTTTATGGTTTTGGTTTTAGTTAACTATATAATAACCCTGCTGATGATGTCTATTACTGAGCCAGTGCCAGTGCCATCAATTGTGGTTAGCTAATTATGATTGTTGTAAAAATGGATATTTCCAGTGCAGTGACACAACTAAATGTAGCTAATGCTCTCTCCCTCTGTCTCAGTTAAAAGGAGACGTCACAAGTCTGGAAAAGCTTCACCGATTATCTCCAAAAAATACCAAGAAAGGGTCAAATAACTTAAGGGTTTTAAAATAACTAGCAACTTTAACTATTAATCTATATTTGGCTCCAGCATGTAAAACAAACTTGCACCCAACTTGCACTTCACAATGCCTATGTGAGAATGTGAGCCAGACATCAGTCTAATAATATTAATAACTTTTTATCTTGTTTTAGCGTATTCATTTAATTGAGTAGTTATGGAAAAACAACGATATTAAAATATCTTAATGCAATTAACGCTTTGGCCCTGCCCAAGACTATACGTCATCTTACATTTCATAGAATTGACTGTTGACAAACATGATTCAGGGCAACAACTCACTGCATGATGTAGCCTATAAAATTAAGTTATATGCCCTTAAAATGTAAGGTATTGGGGTAAAAAAATGCCCCAATATGAGTTTGTTTTTCATATTTATATCATATGATAAGCGATATCAAACGAGCAGCGAGAGCAATATCACCCCTGATAGCACAGGTATGGGCTACATCACTGAGATGTCTATTTGACGTCTGCATGTACATCTGCAAGACATATTTTTGCAATACGTCTATAGGACGTTTCCTATCAGATGTCAAATAGACGTTTAGGATGTCTTTAAGATGTATATGATTTAGAATGTATGTAAATCTGACGTCTGAAAGATGTCAATCAGATTTTTGTACACAGCAGATGCTTTCCAGGTGAAGCTATCTTTAAGACATCTTGCAGACGTACTAGGGGTGGAACGGTTCAACTTACTCACGGTTCAGTTTGTATCACGGTTTCGGTATGGTTCGGTATGTGCTATGTTTAGACAAAAACTATACTGTCAAATAAAAATAAAGAAAATAAGAATAATTTATCTAACTACAAGCAGCAGCACAAATAAATACAATAGAGTAAAGATACAAATAAAATAAACTGTGATTTAACATTAGTTTTCAGGTACAGAAATTGAATAAAGTAATGAAATGTAAAACAGCATTGCGTATTTGACTGTATAAATTAAAGATTCATCTTTATTAAAGTTACACTAGCTCTTCAATCAAGAGCAGTGAGTGATTTCTTTGTTGTTGCTGTTTGATTAATATTAAGAAAGTGCTGTCACTTTAAGAGAATGCACTGATACAGTACATTCAGCCGGCTATGTCTGCTAAAGGATACTTACCAAGACGGGCATTTTGACATAATTTTTGTGCGAATTTGTCCATTTAAACACAATACTTCAGAGAAAGCTTAATATTTGCTCGTTCTGAGGCGCGGGTTTGCGCGCTTCGGATGAGCGCACGCACAAATCTTCTCACTGCGCTCGCGCGCTCGCGTCCTCTGGCTCTTAAATGTTTAAACTGGCAAAGCTTAAACGAGTTTAGCTTAAACTGGCAAAGCTTAAACGAGTTCAGCTTAAACACAGATATCAACGTGTGCTGTTCAAGTCTCACCTGTGCGCGCATGCTATCAGCACCCGGGTCATGACGGAATAAATGCTCATATTCCAGCATACGAAAGTCGCATTGAACAAGAGTGAATGGTTTGTCCATGTTTTTTTTTTTTCATCGCTGTTGTTGTAATGTATTTGGAAGCCAGAATGCGCATCCATCAACAGAAACATATATTAGCCGAGCCCTGTTTGTTTTACGTGTTATTTATAGCAAACCATATTACAGATGCGTTGTCAGATTTAAGTTGAACCGCGGTCCTAGCGCGTGCCGAATCGTGTGTGGAGAACCGTACGATTCGATTTTTTCCACGAACCGTTCCACCCCTAAGACGTACGTGTGCTATCTGGGACATGATTAGCCTACAGTTTTTGTCCCGTGAAGCACAATTTGCAAATGTGATTTTAAACAACAGTTCAGTAAATAATAAGTTAAAAGTGTTATATTTTAGATTTTAAATTTTGCCAACGAAAATATTGCAGAGCCACAGCAGAACTATTGTGTATCTCTGAGCAACACACAGCGGTGATTCATTTCTGAGTTAGTCCACGTTTTAAACGAATCGGGTGAACCAATGATTCAATGGCCCATTCATAAAGTGAGCCATTTCATTCCTGAATGAATCAGCAGTTTGAACGAATCGAATGAATGAATGACTCAATGACTTACTCATAAAGACATTTACCCCCACCTGCTAGTTGTTTTAGTTTCTTATTTAGAGTATAATTTCATAAAAAATACTTTTAAATAAATAAATAAAAACGTACTCACCCTCTTGTCATTTCAAACCTGTATCAATTACTTAAAAACATTTTAGAATGTTGGTAACCAGAAGAAAAAGAAGAATGTTGCTGACCAAGCTGATTTGGTTACTAATAACTTTCATTGTATGAACAAAAGATGTTTCTCAAATTATCTTCTTTTATGTTAGGCCATTGTAGCCTAAACGTTTATGTGTAATAAATTTGATGTTGAATAAAAAAAAATACTTTTTTCTAAAGCTACTTTTTGTAATATCTACTTGATATTCCACTCAATCGAGAATTTTGCAAAAGATTTCCTCATGCAGATTTCGCAACTGGTTCAGTTTGCTGACGCAAATTCCCTGCATTGACGATCAGAAAGCTGCTTGGTTTGAAAGTACTTTTTGAAACTTTTTGTACTTTGAAAGTACGGCACTTCATAGACAATGGAAATTTTGCTAATGAGACCCCACCTTCATTTCTGTATTGTTGAGATAGCCTTTTATGCGTATTTTGTTGTCTCATTTTTATTTTACTGCTAGGAGACAAAGTCAGAATTTTGGAGCCCTTTTCTATGCTCTTAAAGGGGGTTGATCTCAGCAAGTACTACCACTACAATGGCTCACTGACCACCCCTCCCTGTGATGAAGCTGGGGTTTGGACCATCTTTAAGGACCCAATTAGAATCAGCAAAGATCTGGTACAGACAAATTAATTTCCAATTCCAAATAGTTCCATGACTCTCTATGAGATCGAAGGACTTTTATAAATTATTTTCTACCAAGCCCAAGCTGCATTTATTTGGTTAAAAATACAGTAAAAACAGTAATATTATGAAATACGATTACAATTGAAAATATCTGTTTTCTATTGTAATATATTTCAAAATGTGATTTATTCCTGTGATCAAAGCTTAATTTTCAGCATAATTACTCCAGTGTTTAGTGTCACATGATCCCTCAGAAATCATTCTAATATGCTAATTTGCTCAAAAACATTTTAATGTGCTGCTTCATATTTTGTGGAAAACTTTTTTTAAGGATTATTTGATTAATAAAAGGACAATTTTAAAAGAACAGCATGTTTTTAAAATAGATAAGTATAAATTACTTTACTACCACTTTTATTTAGAATAAAAGTATTTATTTCTTTTTTTAAAAGTTTTTGAATGGTGTAGTGTACATCTCAGGTAGCTTTAAATACTTGTAATTGCATTAAAATGCTCATAATCAGATTACAGTTACTTTTTTATGGACATGATTACATATTTTTTCACACAATGGCAGCAAATTATTCATAACTTGTTGATTTTCCTTAATTCTTCTTTTTTTCTCTTTTAAAATTTCCATTCTAAGAATCCCGCTGTGTGTCATACCATTTAACTTTGAAAACTTTAGTTATGTAATGTTATTGCTGTTTCATGTTCATGTAATGGAGGTATTTTTACAGCCAAACCCCTTTGATGTAAAATATAAAGTTGAAATATCCCGGAGGAAGTTTTATTTCAATAATTTAACAAGACATTCACATGTTCACAGTTCTTCGATGTTAGCTAATGGTCAAACTGAGATGCAGCTAAACAAATACCTTTGTTTTGTTTTGTTTCATTTTAAAATAATTTATTTTTATTTAGCATGATTATGATTGAATTAATTATTAGCTTTTAATCAACTCAGTCAAACCCACTGCAGTTCTTTCATTAACCCCAGTTTGGGAAACCTTGGTAATACAGGTGCATCTCAATAAATCAGAATGTTGTGGAAAAGTTCATTTATTTCAGTAATTCAACTCAAATTGTGAAACTCGTGTATTAAATAAATTCAATGCACACAGACTGAAGTAGTTTAAGTCTTTGGTTCTTTTAATTGTGATGATTTTGGCTCACATTTAACAAAAACCCACCAATTCCTACATAAACCATAAATGTTTAAGAATCACTTAGGTTACCTCTGGGTGATTCATGATCACACTCTTAAAACTAAAGGTGCTTCAAAAGGTTCTTCAAGCGATGCCATAGAAGAACCATTGATGGTTCCACAAAGAACCATTCAGTCAAAGGTTCTTTAAAGAACCATCTCTTTCATACCTTTTTATAATCTGAAGAACCTTCTTTCGCCACGAAGAGCCTTTTGTGAAACAGAAAGGTTCTTCAGATATTAAAGGTTCTGTATGGAACCATTTAGACCAAAAGGTTCTTCTATGGCATTGTGAAGCACCTTTATTTTTAAGAGTGCAGTTAAATCTTGAACCGCACGCTCATGCCAGAAAATTACTAATTGGCCAAAAGACATTTCGGAGATCATCTACTCTTCCCTGTGGATTACCTCTGACCTACTTTCTGTACGATCTGAATTTCTGCATATTGAATTTTAGAATATTGAATTTGATGTTCTGAATTTCCTCTTCATCTTGAAAACTTGAAGCTGTCTAAGATTTCAGAACAAGAAAATGCTGTTTGAAAATACATGTCTTTAAAACTCTGCCATAAAAACATTCAGTTGTGTTAAATTTCAAATGTTTAATATTCAAGTAAAAAAAATCAAATTCAGAACTATGTTAAATGCCACATAATATTCAGTTTTGTTAAATGACACTTGTCAATAATTCAAATTTACACAATACAAATTCAATTAGTTTTGTCATATTATAAGCTCCATAGCGCATCACCACAACCTCTGGTCTCTACCCTACAGAGGGAATCTCTATGTTTCATAATCTCCTATTTGCTTACATAACATTGCTTGATTGACAAGCCCATATGTGTTTTCTGCTCAGGTGATGTGTATATCATTTGTTCTATCTTGTCATATTACTGTCATGTTGTCTAGCCTCCATCTCCCTCATATCCCTCCCTCTTTTCACCCTCTGTTTCCTCTGTCATTGTCTCTTATCACACTCATCTCTTACAGAATCCTACACATCTGAACCAAATTCCTTTGGCAGCAGGTGCAGAGCCCTTGTGATCTGAGCTTGTGACCACATACACACGCGCCTCTGCTAAATCAGTGCGATCAGTAAAATGATGAATGTTGTCATATCATTTTCCAGTTCAGCTCCTTGTGACTCTTCTTTTCCCTGCAGCTGCTCAGATTCCCAACAAAAATGTCTTTTGACAACGTATATCAGCCACAGCAACCGCTGAACAATCGTGTGGTCTATTCTTCCACTGCTCTCACCGCAGGCGATTGTTCATTTGAAATGTATGCAGTATAGTGTGAGCCATAAATAACATGAATTAGAGACCTATAATTAACTAGACCTGTCTTTTTCTCCATATTTACCTCAGGTCACACAGGAACAACTGAGGGGGGCCCTAATCCGAAAATTATGCACATAGTTTAAATACAAAAGCTTTTATTTTACTCATTGTCAGTCAGAAAAAGCAATGCAATTTTTTTTTTGCCACAATTTAAAAAATATTGAACATTATTGATGTATTTTATTATATTCTAGGACAAAACGATTAAAGAAAAAATCTATCTACTGTAGTTATATGGATATTCCATACAATATGTTTACTCATCTAAAAAAAAAAGTTTCATGAAATGACTAAGCTGGTTAAGATGGGGTGTATCGCATGTTTTAGAGGGATTTTCAGCTAGTTGACCAACTAAGCAAACAAAAACCAGCTGACTGAGAGATTAACAAACTCATTTATTTGTTTGTTGATTTATTTATTTATTCATTATTATTATATTATAGAGGACTCATATTTTAGCTGGAAGCAATGGTATGAAGTAGTGTTGTCAAAAGACCCGGTACTTCGGTACCAAGTCGGGTTCGGTACTAAAAAAATGAAAACGTTACGGTACCAGGTTTTTTAAGTACCGGTGGTACAGAGTACCTGGTCAACCTGGTTCTTGATGCGGTATCCGAAAGGTGCACATATGCGCTCTCTTCATAAAAGCACTGAGACGTAGCGACATCAAAAGGAGGAAACACACCAAACTAACAAAACACTTTAAAGACAGACACCCAGATCAAATGAAAGAGTTCAAGCAGGTAAGTTTCATTTTAATTTTTAATATTTAGATCTTGTGTTTCCCATACATTGATTTATTTGTGGCGGCCCGCCACAATATCAAAACTGACCGCCACAAATAGATTTTCCAAAAGGCTTTGACTTCATTGAATAAACATGAGCACTGCACGTGTCAAAGTCGAAACCCCGGTGCGGGTGTTTTTATATCACTGTATTTCTGAAGGAAACTGACTGTCTTCAGAAAATGTATTTGATTTATTTGATCAAATAATTATTTGCTTATTTGATTACAGCCGTTACCGGGGGAAACCTCCATCTCTCCTGCTCTACAAGCGCCTCCTGCTGGCAGAGAATGAATTTGCATATACTGTATATGCGCCACAAACAGAGTGCAAGTCTGTGGGAAACACCGCTTCTGTTATGAAGTTTAATTTGAATGTCGGATTGAAATTAACGCTGTTATCAGAGCAGTTAATCGTTAGCATAAGAATATAATGAGCATTAGAATGAAGTTTCTTTATAAACTATTTAATGCTCCTATAACTTTTATTAGGGTAAAAGAAAAACAGGAGGACATGATGATATTTACTATTTTTACACACTAGAGACTTTTAAATGAATTGTGAATCTAAAATATGCATGTTAGAGAATGTACAAATGGTTAACATTGTTTGTGTCATATCAGTAAAAAAAAAAAAATAATAATTTTTTTTAGCTAACTTAGTTGTTATTCTTGGCTGAAGGTTTTCAAAAGCCCTTTAAAATTAAATATGTACACAGTTTGGATTAAATGAAAGTATAGTCAAATGTTTTGCTTTCACTGCAGAGGATCCATTGGTGAGCAAGTGATGGAATGTTACATCTGCTCAGATGAAGAAATAAACTCATCTAAAATGGTAACTCATCTACATCTTGGATGCCCTGAGGGTGAGCACATTTTCAGCACATTTTCTTTAATGAAAGACAGATAGGACGAACAGCAAACACATGTTTTTCCACACTTATTTACCAAGGGTGCCAGTAGTGGAGGACGCTGCAAGACAAGTTGAATAAGCAACAGTTTAATGACAGGTCACACACCCACAAACGTATTTATGGGTCACTTAAAACCTGCCCTCCACTGTGCAAATCAAAAACTGAAACCACATGACCTTATTCCTTTTGTATGAGCATATACACGCGAAATGAAAAGAATGAAAGAGGAGACAAAGAGAAAAAAAAAATACAAAATTCCAGGCAAAGCTGTGAGTTTAATGCCAGCTTACATAACTTCATCTTACAAAACTGTTGATTTTAAGCACTTGGCTGTGATTGAAATAGCTAGAAAAAAATTACAACCAAGCAATAAACAGAATGCAGAGACACAATGATTAATCATTTCAAATGTTTCAAAATGAATAATGGATCATGTAAATTTGATGTAAATGTAGTTAATATAATCAGTATAATTTAATTATCCATCCATTCATTCTTCAAACTTCTTATTTTTTTTTTATTAATTAAATATAAATGTAACATGACCCCATGACAAATCTTGCTCAGACAAGGAACCCTTATAATGTTGAAACAGATCATTAAAAGTCACAGCCCTACAAAAATGCACTGCATCTTGTGAGACGAGATAGCTGGCTCATCAAATGTACTTATTGACAGTTTCAAAGACATCTTTTTTTTTCATGACTCTCGTGACAATGAGAAGTTTGTTAAAGAACACGGTTTCTCATTCCTGTTTTTCCAGGGACACTTTCTTGTAGAATTACCTCAATTCACAAATGAATGTCTGTAAGTTTACTTAAAATTTACAACCAGATGCACAAATTGGAACTAAAGTTCAAGGAATGAGGAACTCTGTTACCCATATATAATATTTGAAAAGAAAATGTCCTCTGAGGAAATATGTTTCTTTAATATATCTTATAAAGGATGACTGTGAGGACCAAAGTGAAGGATTTAATTGCAGAAAACAGTACACCTCCATAAAAGCAGTTACAGCCCATTCAAAATATAAACCCAAACTTTAGTATCCGACATAATGGGTCATGAAACAAACAAGAGCTGATGGCAGTCTGCACGTATTCCACACAAAACAATAATTTGTCCTTGAAAGACCTGAAGACTTCAAATTAATCTAGGAACAAAGATACTTTTATGATAATAAAAGAATAACATTTCAGCATTTGTATAGTGGTGCATAGGCTGCATAAGCCACACATACATATACATATATATATTCTTTCTAAAATGTCAGTGTCTAATACTGGATGATGTTTCAAAGGGAAGCATCAGTTTTGTCTCCCTTGAGCTTGATGTGAATGTGCGGAGGCACTGTTTATGCATAAACGTCTTGTAGCAATTGCTCAGTGGGCACAAGATCCATTTATATGCAATTTTAAAATTTGCCATCTTTGCACATGGACATGAAAAAAACAAAAAAACAAACTCTATATAGAGACTATTTTGAGCTGTGATGTGAAAGGCAACAGACAAGGAAAATATAAGTCCATTTCACATTCAAAATATCTATATAACATTATGAAATATTTGGGATTTATTTGTTGCTTGCAAAAAAAAAAAGAAGAGAGAATCAGATGGTGGGAGTCACAGCATCTGCCAGAAGGGCTAATGCGGTAATGCTAACCAGAAAAACCTGAGAGGTAACAATAAAATACAGGTAGCCTAAAAGTCAGGTAAGCAGAGGCAGTGCAGCAGATAGCTTACAGACAGCTTACAAAGGTATTATGTAAGTTTTGAAATAGTTTTCAGCTGCCAGACAAATCTGCTTATCTATTCGATAAGCCAGAGACTAAAACAGATCAAACTGATATAGATAGAGCAACTCAGAGCTGAACACATGTGTTACACCTGTTGAAAGAAGCTTTTATCTCCTCTTCATCCTGACATTTTAAAGAAATGCATTCAAATTTGGTTTAAGCATATAATGTATTTTTAATTTTAAGAGCCTTCTAAAAGGAGCCAGGCACTGATAAAATTAAGAATTTAATGATGTTCTTGTGGTTTATATGTTGACTGAAAAAAAAAAAAACACACACACACACACATCAGCATACACATCTTTTGAATGGGTGTCCATTGCTCTTTAGAATCAGATTCTAACACACTCTGGTGTATTAAGAAATTGCAGAGGCAGGATGCCATGGGTGAGCCTGAGATTGTCATTTATGGCGTCATGATTCATTCCAGAAGATTAGTTTCAAAGAACATCCCATCATGAGCACGAACATTAATAGAATTGAAATGATATTAACATGTATCTAATCTGGCTGAGGTGGGGCACGTTTGTGTTGTGTAATTGTGTGCCTATCCTTAAAATGAGCGACTGTAATTATACTGCTGAAGGATTGTGTACACAGCAGCTAATAATGACACTATGTGGATATTTCCCTGAGAAATGAAACCTCTTTTTGTATAGGCTAGGGGAGAGCGGGGCACAAAGTAACACTTTTTGACTTTCTCAGTTTGTGTAAATCCACATTGTGTTCAGAATATAATTTTTTTTACACTTTACAATTTTACACTTGTCTAGTACACATATGTCGCTTTTATTCATAATTACAGTGTATACGTTTTTCTTTATTTACCCTCAAAAATTGGAAGTGAAATGTGACAACATGCCCCGTAGGTGGGGTACATTGTAACATCTGAGGGGCACGTTGTAACATGACCAATGTTGGGTGTAATTAGTTACTAAGTAATTAGTTACTGTAATTGAATTACTTTTCCCTTGAAAAAGTAAAGTAAGGGATTACACTTATTTTTTCCGTAATTTAATTACAGTTACTTCTTATGTAATTGAATTTAATACTGTGTATAGACTGTAGAACATTTATATACAATACATCAAAATTTAAAGTCTTAACCTTAAAATGCATGCTTTTTATGTACCCTTCTCACTTTAAATACTTTGGTGAGTTGTACATTGGTAACACTTTAATGTCCAGTTCTCACTATTAACTTGTTAGTTATTAGCATGAATATTACTGGAATATTGGCTTTTTATTATTACTTAAAAAACACATATTAATGTCTTATTCTCCAAGACCTTATTCTAAATCCTTAATCCTACACAATTCTTAAACTAAACAACTACTTTACTAAATATTAATAAGCAGTTTATTGAGGCAAAAGTCATAGTTAATAGTTAGTTAATAGTGAGAATTGGACCCTAATCTAAAATGTGACCAGAATAATTTATGTAGTTATCTATTATTTATTTGAAAGAATTAAAAGCACCGTTTCATGTCTATCCTTGTATCATTAACTTGTTGAGGTTGATATAGGATTTAGAAAGTAATTAGTAATAAGTAATTAAATACTTTTTGGAGAGAGTAATTTGTACAGT